GCTGTATAATTACACAGACTGAGGGTAGCTCAAAGTTTAGTAGCCTGTGAAAAATTTTTAGACCACTGAAGACAAATGCAGGTGATTGTTTTAATGAGAAAAAGAAGAATATGTGCCAAGTTTTTACCAAAAAAAAGGTTCCAATTTAAACCCCAAGAGAGGGTTCCTTTGATTTTACTCAAGAAAGAATTCAGGCTGAGTCCATAGAATAAAATGAAAGCAAGTTATTAAGAAAGTAAGAAAATAAAAGAATTGGTTACTCCATTGGCAGAGCAGTCCAGAGTCCTACTGGTTACCTATTTTTATGGTTATTTCTTGATTACACACTAAACAAGGGGTGGGTTATTTGTGCATCCCCATTTTAGACCATATAGGTTAACTTCCTGATGTTTTCATGGCATTTGTAAACTCTCATGGCACTAGACGGAGTGTAGCAATGAGAATGACCAGAGATCACACTCGTGACCATCTTCATTTTGTTGGGTTTGTCCCAATTCTTTACTGCAAGCTGTTTTGTCAGCCAGGTCTTTATGACCAGTATCCTGTGCTGACTCTTATCCATAACTCTGAGTTCCAACAAAAGGGGTTATCTCAAAACTTAATAAGTGTTTAATTTAAGAAAACATCCAGGCTGGGAATGGTAGCTTACGCCTGTAATCCCAACACTTTGGGAGGCTGAGGTGGGCAAATCACTTGACGTCAGGAGTTTGAGACCAGCCTGACCAACATGATGAAATCCTGTCTCTACCAAAAATACAAAAAGTTAGCCAGGCGTGGTAGTGTTTGCCTGTAATCCCAGCTACTCAGGAGGCTGAGGCAGGAGAATCACTTCAACCCGGGAGGTGGAGGTTGCAGTGAGCCAAGATCACGCCACTGCCCTCTAGCCTGGGTGACAGTAGGAGACTCCATCTCAAACAAAAAGAAAAAGAAAACATTCAGTAAGTTTATCCTGCATTTCTAACAAAGAGTACAACTGCAATATATTTTACAACAAGTTCAGGCAGCCGCTTGGTAGCAAAAGGATTTTTTTCAGCAGTCCCATCAGCTCTCAGGTCTTTCATTTTTAAGAGAAAAAGCTCCCCATGTCCCATGGCCCTATAGATGCCTGATTCTGTCACCCATAGCCACCAGAGCGAAGAGTGCAAGATAGATTAATCCAAAAAGGATAGCAGTTCACTTCCTGTAGTGTGAAACCAGTTCTTAGCTGAGAGGGACTTTACTGAGGGGGTTCTCTAACCTTCTAAATCTTAGGAAGGACTTAACCTTCCTAAGTTGATCCTTGAATCCAAGTAGAGTCAAACATTCTTGCCTTGTATTAAGAGGAGCCCTTAACCCACTCTGTATAGAACAAAAACAGAGGTGAAAAGATAAAATACACAGATAATCCACTAGGACCACTATCTGTAGAACAAACAATTCTTTCCAGTTATATTGCACTCTTCTGCACTCGGGTTTTTCTTAACTTTTCTTTTTGGTTCAGGTGTACACGTGCAGTTTTGTAATGTAGGTAAAATCGTTTCATGGGAGTTTGGTATCGATTATTTTGTCACTGAGGTCCTGAGTGTAGCACTAAACAGGTATTTTTTCTGATCTTCTTTGTCCTTTTATCCTTTATCCTCAGCTAGGCCTCCGTGACTGTTCCTTCTTTGTGTCCATGTGTTCTTATTATTTAGCTCTTACTTATGAATGATGACATGCATTTGGTTTTCTGTTTCTGCATCAATTTTCTAAGAATAAGGGTCTCCAGCTCCATCCATGTTACTGCAAAGGACTTAATCTTGGTGTTTTCTGTTTGCTTGTTTGTGTTTTGAGACAAATTCTTACTCTGTCACCCAGGCTGGAGTGTAGTGGCATGATCTCGGCTCACTGCAACTTTCACCTCTCAAGTTCAAACGATTCTTCTGCCTCAGCCTCCTGAGCAGCTGTGATTACAGTAGCCCATCTCAATGCCAAGCTAACTTTATTGTATTTTTAGTAGAGACGGGGTTTTAGCATGTTGGCCAGGCTGGTCTCAAACTCCTGATCTCAAGTAATCTTCTTGTCTTAGCTTCCCGAAGTGCTGGGATTGCAGGCATGACCCACAGTGCCTGGCTTTGTGTTGTTTTTAAATGGCCACATAGTCTTACATGTTTTTTGTGTACCATATTTTAATTTTCTTTTCTTTTTTTTTTTTCCTTTCCCACTTACTGGTATTCGAGCCATATTTCGTTTTTATTAAATCTTTATTTTGCTTTTGGAGGCAGTGTCTCACTGTCACACAGGCTGAAGTGCAGTGGTGCAATCTTGGCTTATTTCAGCCTCAACCTCCAAGACTCAAGGACTCCTCCTACCTCAGCCCCTTAAGTAACTGGGACTATAGGCACACAACACCACACGTAATCTTTCTATTTTTATTTTTTGTAGGGATGTGGTTTTGTCATGTTGCGCATTAGATCTTGAACTAATTTACACTCCCACCAGCAGTATATAAGCATTCCCTCTTCTCTGGAACCTTGCTGGCCTCTGATATTGACTTGTTTTTGAGACAGAGTCTCACTCTGTCACCCAGATGGAGTGCAGTGGCGTAATCTCACCTCACTGTAACCTCCGCCTCACGGGTTCAAGCTATTCTTATGCCTCAGCCTCCCGAGTAGCTGATAAAACAGAAGTGCACCATCACGCTCCACTAATTCAAGATTTCAGGACCTTAAACCTTGGGTTGATAATCTCACAACTCAGAAGGACCCCTTTAAACATTTGCAGTTGTATGCCCATTGGAGATCTTAAGGTAAATCTAACCAGTAAAGTTTCTTCTCAGTAGCAGTTGGCAACATTAATATAGATAGCTTTTTTGGGGGTGGGGGACAGAGTCTCACTGCCCAGGGTGTAGTGCAGTGGTGTGATCTCAGCTCACTACAACTGCCGCCTCCCAGGTTCAAGTGATTCTTCTGCCTCGGCCTCCCAAGTAGCTGGGACTACAGGTGTGTGCCACCATGCCCATCTAATTTTTGTATTTTCTTTTTTTTTTTTTTGGGACGGAGTTTTGCTCTTGTTACCCAGCCTGGAATGCAATGGCGTGATCTTGGCTCACCACAACCTCCGCCTCCTGGGTTCAGGCAATTCTCCTGCCTCAGCCTCCTGAGTAGCTGGAATTACAGGCATGCGCCACCGTGCCCAGCTAATTTTTTGTATTTTTAGTAGAGATGGGGTTTCACCATGTTGACCAGGATGGTCTTGATCTCTTGACCTCGTGATCCACCCGCCTCTGCCTCCCAAAGTGCTAGGATTACAGGCGTGAGCCATCGCACCTGGCCTTAACTTTTGTATTTTCAGTAGAGACGGGGTTTCACCGTATTGGCCAGGCTGGTCTCGAACTGCTGACCTTGTGTTCTGCCTGCCTCGGCCTCTGAAAGTACTGGAATTACAAGCATGAGCCACTGCTCCCAGCCCTGTTTTTAGTTCTGTTAGGTATTGCCACGCTGCTTTTCACAATAGTTGAATTCACACTCCCACCAATGGTGTACAAGCATTCCCTCTTCTCTGCAACCTTGCCACCATCTGTTGTTACTGACTTTCGTTTTTGAGATTCAGTCTCGCTCTGTTGCCTAGACCAGAGTGCAGTGACACAATCTCAGCTCACTGTAACCTCTGCCTCATGAGTTCACGTGATTCTCATGCCTCAGCCTCCTGAGTAGCTGAAACTGCAGAAGTGCACCACCACGCCCCGCTAATTCTTGTATTTTTAGTAGAGATGAAGTTTCACCATGTTCGCCAGGCTGCTCTTGAAGTCCAGATCTCACATGATTCGCCCTCCTTGGCCTCCCAAAGTGCTGAAATTACAGGCATGAGCCACCGTGCCCAACCTGTTACTCACTTTTATAACAACAGCCATTCTGACCCGTGTGAGGTGGTATCTCCTTGTAGTTTTTTTTGATGTTGTTTTGTTTTTGTTTACATTAATATAATGAGCATTAAAAAAATATTTTTGCTAGCCATATATTTGTGTTTTGGAAAGCATTTGTTCATGTTTTTTGCCTACTTTTTATTGTGGTGGTATGTTGCTTTTTGTAAACTTAAGTTTCTTAATTCTGGATATTAAATCTCTAAGAAGAATAGTTTGCAAGTTTTTTTGTAGACTGTTTAGTCTGTTAATACTTTGCTGTGAAAAACTAATTAGGTTCTATTTGTCAATTTTTGCTTTTCTTGCTATTGCTTTTAGTATCTTTATTATAAAAATCTTTGCTGGTTTCTATGCCTAGGATGATAGTTTCTAGGTTATTTATGTTCTGGGTATTTTTTTTTTAACTATAAGTTTTGCCTTTAAGTCTTTAATTCATCTTGAGTTGACTTTTTTTTTTTTTTGAGACGGAGTCTCGCTGTTGTTACCCAGACTGGAGTGCAATGGCGTGATCTCGGCTCACCGCAACCTCTGCCTTCTGGGTTCAAGCAATTCTCCTGCCTCAGCCTCCTGAGTAGCTGGGACTACAGGCGGGCACCACCATGCCCAACTAATTTATGTATTTTTAGTAGAGACGGGGTTTCACCATGTTGACCAGGATGGTCTCAATCTCTTGACCTCGTGATCCACCTGCCTCGGCCTCACAAAGTGCTGGGATTACAGGCTTGAGCCACCGCCCCCGGCAGATCTCCAGTTTATTGTACCCATTGAAACTTGAGAGGTGCCTTCTAATTCAACATTTTTTTTGGTCTGGAAAATATGCACAATTCATTCTTTGTGATGCAAATTTAGCACTCAAAAGTATCATATACACTGGTTTTGTGGATCTTATACAATTCTCTCAGAGTTAGAGAATACATGAGAGGATATTTCTGTGTTGAAAATTATTGAATAATTTTCAGTCATTCCTACAAGTCAGAACCAATTTTCTTTACTCTTGTTTAACCTTAATTCAAATGATAAATTATGCCCCTGGACATTTGTAAATATATGTGTGTGTGTGTGTGTGTGTTTGTGTGTGTGTGTGTGTGTGTGTGTGTGTGTGTGTGTGCATGTTTTTCAGGGGCCGTTGACATTTAGGGATGTGGCCATCGAATTCTCTCTGGAGGAGTGGCAATGCCTGGACACTGCTCAGCAGGATTTGTATAGAAAAGTGATGTTAGAGAACTACAGAAACCTGGTCTTCTTGGGTGAGAATAACTTTAATACACAATTCCTTACATTTCCTAAAGGTTTCGTTTCTCTATTTTTATATAATAATTTTTGGTAATTAATGCTTTGCATAATGAGTTTCTGATCCCTGTTTTCAAGAAATCCTGAGGATTTGTTCATGTAGGAAAAACTTTCTTCAAGATGTTTTATTTTGGCCTGAATTTTACATTCCTGAGCTGGTCTGTATCCTTCACACTAGAGTAGTCGTAATTTCAGAAATTTAGTGGTATTATTGTTGCCCCATGTTAAAATCGATTTGCCACCACTAACTTTTGACTCATGAGTACAGGATAGTGAAATTAAGGACCTACAAATTTAAAATATTTTCTAAATGTTAAAACTTTGTGTCATTAAATAGTATTTTAGTATTAATTTTTTAGAATATTCTATGACATTCTCTTTACTAAGCAAGGTACTAGGTTTGCAATTAGAGAATATGAGCAAGATTCATGTAATTTATTTTTAATAAAGCAGGTATTGCTGTCTCTACGCCAGATTGGATCACCTGTCTGGAGCAAGGAAAAGATCCCTGGAATATGAAGAGACACAGTGTGGTAGTCACACCCCCAGGTCGGTGAGAGTGAATAAAACAGTTGACATAGATGAAAGGTTGGAAGATTAGAAAAAAATGCCAGTCCCTACAATGTGTTTTGGGAAGCTGTGTTTCAAAACAAATAGTGTCTGGGAAGCCTGAAGTGTTTAAGCGCTTGTTTTATTGTTCTTACTTAGGGTCATCTTCTCTCTTCGGCTTTTAAATTCTCCAAGGATTCTACTTTCCCTTCATTGATCTTCCTTCAAGTTTACAGTGAGAGCCAAAGTCCTCTTCGTAATATATGAGACTGCACATTCTGACTGCTTTTTCATTGTTTTGGGGGACACACAGATATCTGCATTATTTTGAGAAACTTTATGTTAAACTATTTTTTTGGTTCTTTTTTTGCATCATGTCTAAAATGTATGAGAGTAGTGGTCTCTGTTCTATTGGGTTTTTTGTTTTGTTTTGTTTTTTTGAGAGAGTCTCTCTCTGTCACCCAGGCTGGAGTGCAGTGGTGCGATCTCAGCTCACCTCAACCTCTGCCTCCTGAGTTCAAATGATTCTTCTGCCTCAGACCCCAGGTAGCTGGGATTACAGGCATGTGCCCCAACGCCCGGCTAATGTTGTATTTTTAGTAGAGATGGGGTTTCTCCACATTGGTCAGGTCGGTCTCGAACTCCTGACCTCAGGTGATCCACCCACCTCAACTTTCCAAATTGCTGGGATTATAGTCATGAGCCACCATGCCTGGCCTCTTTTGGTTTTTATGTTAATTTTCTGCACATTCCATCCTGTTTTTATTACTATATTCTTGAAATATAGTTTGAAATTGTAAAATATGATATCCCTGAGCTTTGTTCTTTTTCCTCAGGATTGCTTTGGCTATTTGAGGTTTATTGTAGTTTCTTGTAAATTTTAGAATTGTATTTTTTATTACTGTAAACAAAAAATGCCACTGCAATTTTGATAGGAAGTTTGTTGAATCTATAGATTACTTTAGAGAAGATTGTGCTCTAACAATATTTATTCTTTCAATCCATAAATATGAAATTTTTTTTCTTTTTTATTTGAGACAGAGTTTTGCTGTTTTCGCCCAGGCTGGAGTACAGTGGTGCGATCTCTGCTCACTGCAACCTCCTGGGTTCAAGCGGTTCTCTTGCCTCAGCCTCCCGAGTAGCTGGGATGACAGGTACCCTCCACCATCCCTGACTAAGTTTTTGTATTTTTAGTAGAGATGGGGTTTCACCATGTTGCCCAGGCTGGTCTAGAACTCCTGACTTCAGGCAATCCACCCACCTCAGCCTCCCAAAGTGCTGGGATTACAGGGGTGAGCCACCATGCCTAGCCTCTTTTATTGATTTATATATTTCATTGTAAAGACTTTTTTGCCTCTGGTTAAATTCTTAGAAATTCATTATTTAATTATATTTTTAAAAGGATTGTTTTCTTAGCTGGCATGGTGGCTCAGGACTGAATTTCAGCCCTTTTGGAGGCCAAGGCAGGTAGATCACTTGAGTTCAGGAGTTCAAGTCCAGTCTGGCCTATATGATCTCTACTGAAAATATAAAAATTAGGAGGCTGAGGGAGAAGAATTGCCTGAACCCAGGAGGCGGAGGTTGCGGTGAGCTGAGATTGCCCCATTGCACTCCCGTCTGGGTAACAAGAGCGAAACTCCATCTCAAAAAAAAAAAAAAGAAAAGAAAATATAAAAATTTAGCCAGGTGTGGTGGCCTGAACCTGGGAGGTAGAGGTTCCAGTGAGCCTAGATTGCACCGTTGTATTCCAGCCTGAGCCACAGAGCAAGACTCTGTCTCAAAAAAAGGAAAAGACTTTATGTCTGATAGCTTGTTTAAAGTATATAGACAATAATATATTTTTATGGTAATTTTATATTTTGTTAATTTACTGAGTGTATTTATTAGTGTAGCCAAATTTCCATGTACTGTCTAGTCTTTTATGTGTAAGATTATTCTAGAAATAGCAACATTTTACTAATTTGTCTTCTTCACGTTCTTTTTTTTTTTTGAGACAGAGTTTCACTCTTGTTACCCAGACTGGAGTGCAATGGCACGATCTCGGCTCACCACAACCTCCGCCTCCTGGGTTCAGGCAATTCTCCTGCCTCAGCCTCCTGAGTAGCTGGGATTACAGGCACGTGCCACCATGCCCAGCTAATTTTTGTATTTTTAGTAGAGACGGGGTTTCACCTTGTTGGCCAGGATGGTCTCGATCTGTTGACCTCATGATCCACCCGCCTCGGCCTCCCAAAGTGCTGGGATTATAGGCGTGAGCCACTGCGCCCGGCCTATGTATCTTCACTTTCAATGGCTTTTTAAAATATTTTCTTTTTTTTTTATTTTTATTTTTGCCACCACCCCCACCCCCACCCCCACTCCCAAAAATATTTTTTATTCATTATTCTGCAGTATATTTCCAGTGTTAACGTTAAAACAGAAGCATTGACAATGGGCACAGTATAGTTTTATATTGGTGTCTGTGAATTTGAAAAAGCAAACAACTACTCAATTTTCATAAACTGATTTGGGGAAATGAAGATCTTCTCTTGTTGGCTTCTCGGGGTTCCTAATTGCCCTCTGTGTTTGTAGTGGAGTATGGTTGTAACTTAGTCAAAAGGCTTCTGGGTCTGCATAGGGTCCACATTTAGTTGGCCTTTTTTTTGGGGGGTGGGGGATAGAGTCTCAATCTGTTGCCCAGGCTGGAGTGCAATGGCATGATCTCAGCTCATTGCAACCTCCGAGTCCCAGGTTCAAGTGATTCTCCTGCCTCGGCCTCCTGAGTAGCTGGGATCGCAGGTGTGTGCCACCATACCCAGCTAATTTTTGTATTTGTACAAGAGATGGGGTTTTACCATGTTGGTCAGGCTGTTCTCAAACTTCTGATCTTGTGATCTGCCAGCCTTGGCCTTTCAAAATGCTGGGATTGTAAGCGTAAGCCATCGTGCCCACCCTTATTGGGGGTACAGTGGCTTATTACAAGGAGCTTAGGTAGTTGTTATTTTCCTTTTTTTTTTTTCTTTTGACAGATTAAATATCCTAATGACTTTTATCCGTGGAGCAGACACTAGGGCAGGTTTCTTCAGTTAGGTCCATTTAAAATGGCCCTTATATTAGAATGTAAATGAATATGGCTTTCACTGGATACCAGAGACTTCTACAGGTCACTGTGTGGGTTTCTATGTAGGTAGAACTGACCATGAACTGTTAATCATGGAGCTGGAACTGAGTCATTGAACTGCCTCACGGACCACAGTAAAGATCAAGGTCTGTGGCCGGGTGGGGTGACTCAGTCCTGTAATCCCAGCACTTTGGGAGGCTGAGGCGGGCAGATCACGGGGTCAGGAGATTTGTTATTTTTAAAAATTATTTGTATATAGTTCAAAGAAATGATCCAACTTCATTTCATCAGTGTTGATATTCAGTTTTTAACGTTTTCTCAGAAGATTATCTTTTCTCTATTGTGTGCTCATGGCAGTGTCATGAAAGATCATGTAATCATATACATATCTTTTATCCTTTCATCTTTTTATCTTTCTTTGTCAGTATCACACGGTTTTTGTTATACCTTTTAATATGTTTTACAATCAGGAAGTACAATGTCTCTGTTTGTTTTCATGGGTGTTTTGCTAGGTATAGTTTATAATCAAATTTTAAAATGTTAAACATTTCTGTAATAAAACTGTGGTATTGTGATTTTTTTTTTTTTTTTGAGATTGAGTTTCGTTCTTTTGCCCAGGTTGGAGTGCAGTGGCGCGATCTCGGCTCACTGCAACCTCCACCTCCCTGGTTCAAGCGATTCTCCTGCCTCAGCCTCCTGAGTAGCTGGGATTACAGGCACGTGCCATCGTGCCCAGCTAATTTTTGTATTTTTAGTAGAGACGGGGTTTCACCATGTTGACGAGGATGGGCTCGATCTCTTGACCTCGTGATCCACCCACCTCAGCCTCCCAAAGTGCTGGGATTACAGGCGTGAGCTACCGCACCCGGCCCTGCCTCCAGTTTCAAGCGATTCTTCTCCCTCAGCCTCCCAAGTATAGGTGCCTGCCACCACACCTGACTAATTTTTGTATTATTAATAAAGCTGGCCTCAAACTCCTTACCTTGTTATCAAATTTGAGACCAAGCTGATCTCAAACTCCTGACCTTGTGTTCTGCCCACCTCGGTCTCCCAACATGCTGGGATTACAGGTGTGAGCCACTGCATTCAGCACTATTGTGATTTTTATAGAGATTATACTTAATTTTTTACCACTGTATGTTGTATTGACATTTTAATGCAATTAATTTTTTTTACCCTTGAGCCAAGAATATGATGAAGAGCATGTTTTAGTTTTCTTTCTTTTCCCCTTTCTTACCTTTTTCTTTTTCCTCCCTCCCTCCCTCCCTCCCTCCCTCCCTTCCTTCCTTCCTTCCTTCCTTCCCTTTCTTTCTTTTCTCAGGGTTTTTCTATGTTGCCCAGACTAATTTCAAACTCCTGGCCTCAAGCAATCCTCCTACCTCAGCCTCCCAAAATGCCACTATTACCGGTTTGAGCCACTGCACACAGCCTGTGTGATTTATTTTTATTTGTTCTTCTATTTGCCACTTTTACTTTTGCTTTTAATTTTTAGTTTCATTCAGTTTTGGTAAGAATACACACAATGTATTTTTTTGGAACTGTATTTATTTGTTGTTGTCATTTTGAGACAGGATCAAACCTGTCACCCAGGGTAGAGTATAGTGGCATCCTTTTGGCTCACTGCAACCTCAGCCTCCTTGATTCAAATGGTCTTTTTACCTAAGCCTCCCAAGTAGCTGAGACTACAGACATGAACAACGATGCCTGGATAATTTTTTTATTATTTGTAGTGCAGGATCTAACTATGTTATCCAGGCTGGTCTCAAACTTTTGGTCCCAAGTGATTCTTTCACTTTTGTCTTCCAAATTGTTAGGATTATAGGTATTAGTTAGTCACTACCCTCAGGTGGTATTCTTCAAAAGACTTGTTATGTTTTCTAACGGAATACTTGAGGTGCAA